CCCGAAGGTCAGCCCACGTGTGCAGGGGTCAGACGAAACCTAAAGTAACCGCCAAACGTCACGTGGTCACATACACGAAGAATTACAGTCATAATTTAAAAGGCCTACATCACAAGGTCAATCGACACAGTTTGAGCGGTTGTTTTTTCATTCCATTTGTCCTCCTATTAGGAGCAGCACCCTTCATTGGAGTTTGGAGAGAAAGCGTTCACCATTTCGTTGAATTGTAGACGGCTCAGCAGTCTCAGCCTTAAACAAATTTGCAACGCAAAGACTATTTAGCAGGCTGGGATGTTTTAAATAATGAGTGAAGTTATCATTCGGTGTTCAGTGCCTCTTTTTATTATGGAAATGGTCATCTGTAAAAAGTGCTTTAGGCTGATTTGTCTGTTGTATTTTCTTAAAACTTTGGCATAGCTCTTTAAATTTGCATGATTTTCTAACTGGGGGATGTAATGGACGCTGGTTGTCTCGAAGCCATCGCAACTACGCATAATTTTAGACAACTCGAAAAAAGAGAGTGATTGTAGACACATTTTGTACTACATATCTGTCGATTAATAGACTATCCTTTTCCGCATCTGCCAAAATACAGAAAAGGAAGGCTTTCGTAAGGGTTTTACAGTAAAATGTGCATGATAGGAAAGAGTACTGATGATGTAGCGATGATGTGGCTAAAAGTGGAGAGACTCAAGAGCATGTTCAAGCCTAAATATCCGGTGTCATCAAAATTTTTGCATCAAGAGCATTTAATAAGAGAATATTGAGTACTTTATTACATGTTATGGTGCAACAACCAAAATAAACTTCAGCACGCAACGAAAAATTATTTGAGTTTTGGTTGCATTGATGGTTTCGAGGTGTGGGTAATTGTGCGGCAATGGTGTTAGTGAGCCCAAAATACCCACGTTTTCTGCCATAAATCAAAGCTTTTCCAAAGGAAACCTCGAGCATTTCTTGCATTAAAAGCTCTACTGAAACGTTGTAAGTAGAACTTCATAAGTAGGCTAACTTAATGGTTGCAATGCACTCATTACCAGTGGACTATAGAACCATTGCTGCGGTGCCATTCGTGTGCTTACCATTTAGCAATCACGTCGATGTCATGCCTATTTATAATTTTTCATTTTTATTTGCTCTTCCACCTTTTTTTAGATCTTCCTGTTGATGGTGCGCCTAAGTGGTCAGCGGTAACTGATTTTTCTAATTAAGTCGAAATAGGACTAATTTCTTTTAATACTTACTAAATTAGACCGCAATTTCACGAGAATAAAGTCTATTGAAGCCCAAATCTGGAACTCACTTTAGCAATCAGTATTGACATATGATAAAGACCTGAGAAGCTGTTGTACGTAGCATACTCCATAACATTGTGGCATATCAAAAGAGGCAACTGCGTGACATCGAATTGGTAACGATGCGTGACTGGCGTCAACTGACAAAGGTGATCAAGTTAACTCATAAAAGCCAGTCCTGAAACGATGTGGAAGGAGGATACAACAGATGGATCCACCATCTCGTAGGTGCTACGTTATGTGGCGGCTCAGAGGACAGCATCAATGAGAGCTATTAGCATCTTCGCTAATCTGCTCTTGGTTTTTTACATTAGTCTGAAAACCAAATCCAATTTTCTTTACTAAAACCTTTGCATTTCAAAAAATATGTGGGAAAATCTACCGGAAATCATGCGTGTATTTTCCATTTTGTACAGGTGCTCTTCACCGTTTATGCTTTCCCATCACCCAAAAACCTCCGACAGTTTTCTTCCCCTCTTAGTGTAGTAATTTACCTATTTTTTCCCATAAACTAGTTAGATCTCAAAAAGGGGAAAATTTTTAATAGAAAACTATTTTGCACCTCTCAAACTTTTATTTCTGCACTTGTTTGTTTAACAACTTGTCGATCAGCGGCCCATTTTATTGGTAAATGACTTCTTTTGGCTCAACAAGCTCCCCCTTCCTTCCTCTACTCCCCACATCACACAATCTTCTCCCTTCCATTTTATTACTATGGAAGACTGGTTTAATCTCGCAACGCTTTGCACAAAATTGGGGTAAACAGAGCACGAAAGATCCTTTCCCCCTCAAAAGTTAGGACAATCCGATCTTCAATTCCACTTCACCCAAGATGCAAGACCAGAATGCCCGTGTAAATGGCAGTGTGTTTATTGGGAGGGGAAAAAATTGTCGCATGAAAGAGAACTCGAAAAGTAGAGTGGAGGCTGATAAAATATTTGCGTTGGAGTCGCAGATTTGAGAGAGAACGAAAATGACTAAAGATGGGGGCGAATTTGAAAGGTGAATAAACCAGTTAATATCCTAGCTAAAGAAGTGAGAGTCACCTCGGTGTTTCTTTAGTAGTCGCAGCTACTGAGTATTTCATCTCGATGGTAGCGCGGCTGGTCAATGCTTCCCGATGATGAAAAACTCTCATTCACTCCACGACGTCCATGATAGCGCCTTATGTAGTCCGGGTTCACGTAGATGTACCTATAAGGAGATAAATTTAACAATAATCCAATTGAGTGCTCAGTTTAAGGTCGATAACACACTCACTTTCCACCACCACGTCCAACTAACTCCTCCTCTTCTTCCTCGTAGGCGTAATCCGCGTACGACCTCGAACGATAAGGCGTGCGGCGTATGTGCAGAGGCCGTGATCTCCTGTCAATCGACAAGGAGCGATGCAAAGAGGCCGGAGATTGGCACCTTAGCGATGGCGATCGACGCAAGAAACGTGGACTGCCTCGACGACAACTCGGTGAAGGTGAGCGACGAATAATAGGTGGACTTCGGCGGTAGACAGGTGATTTGGGTGACACACTCCTTGGCATCACCGCGTGAATTGGTGAATTGCGTGGATACTCCACCATAAAGGGCTCCGGAGAGGTTAGCTGAATGCCATACATTTGGGGATGTGGTCGGCAGCTCCTAGAGCTGAACGAGCTAAATGTGGAGAAATGCTTTACCATGAGAAATTTTGCGGAGACATTGACTTTCCCATAATTTTGCAACTTGGAAGGTTTTTGTTATTCATGCTAAGCTATAAGATGAGATAAAAGTAACGAGATAGTTGGATAGTTCGCCAATGAACTTCCACCGGGCACCCTGACTTTTGAGACGTCAGTAGTCACTTGGACTTCGACAGAGCACAGCCGCAGAACACTCAACGAAATTTTCGTTCATAAAAGCGGAAGCGGCTAGTAACATGCCAGAGACCCACGATCATTACCATTCTATGAAAAGGGAGCAAAAATTACATTTCACGAGCCTTATCCTTAGGAATGCGCATAATTAAACAGCTATTCTCAGTACTTACCTATGAATCAACAAGAAGATTAGGTTTATTTGTTAAGTATATCAATTAAAAGACCGTTTGAACAATCACCTCTCGACCCTTCCAGACCCCAACAGCAGTGTGCCAATTCGAAACATGGGAGAAGGTGAGGGAGAGTGCAAAAGTAGACGATTAAAAAAACTGACACAAAAGGTGACCGCAATGCTGAGTACGTACATGTCAAGTATTTTTTTAATAAGAGGACTAAACAAGGCGAAAACTAAACGCAAGGCGG